CTTCCAAGATGATCCGGTGCATGCATGTGGAGGGGCTGATGCCTTTTATGTCTCCAAGGCTCCACCCAATGGCCTTCTGATTCTTTTTGAGTACATCAATTAGCTCATTCTCCTCTTTCCGGTTAAGCTCGGCAAAAATGATGACCGGCTTTTGTTTCTTTTCATCAAGAAAAACATATTTGAGGTGGCGGGGTAGTTCCTTGAGCTCTAGAGTGGGTGTAGTCGGTGTGTGGGACTCGTCGGCTGCAAAAAGCTCGATAGTTGGCTCTCCTTCATCGTTTAGATCGGGCATTGTCCTCTCTTCATAGTCACGTATAGTCGTCGCCTCAACAAACGGGTCGGTTATATCAACGAAGGCGCACTCCTCCACAAAGTTCACTGAGGATGCAGATGTGGCTTCTCGGACTGAAATGGAAACGGACTCGCCCAAGACNTTCCGTTCTTGACATCAATGAGGGTGTTAGTGGTGGCCATAAACGGTCTGCCGAGAAGGATAGTATGATCCTTCCCGTTTTCGTGGACATCCCCCACATCCAAAACGACAAAATCTACCGGGACAATGAGCTTCCCGACACGAACAAGGACATCCTCAACTACCCCCTTGGGGTATCTGATCGAACGGTCTGCGAGCTGGAGGCACATGCGGGTTGGCCTCAAGTCTCCTAAGCCGAGCCGCTGAAAGATAGAGAACGGCATGAGGTTGATCCCTGCTCCAAGATCCAGCATCCCTGAAGCTTCCTTTCCGTTTCCGAGGGCTATTTGAATCACGAAGCCTCCGGGATCTCGTTCTTTCTTCGGAAGGTCATGCTGCATAGCACTTGCAGCCTCGTAAACCACTACCTTCTCCCCGTCTCCAAATTTCCTCTTCTTTGTCACTAGGTCTTTGAAGAACTTCACGTACGAGGGCATATTCTTGATCACGTCCAGGAGTGGCAGATTGACGTTGACCTTCGAGAGCATGTTGTATAGGTCCCAAAATTGCTGCTCCTGCTTCTCGTCCCGGAGTCGGCTTGGGAAGGGTATGCTTGGTTTGAAAGGGTTTGGTGACTTGTGTAACATCGGGCCATCTGTGTGCTTCCCGGGCTCAACTTCTGTATCCTTCTTCGGGTTCTCCTCTACTCCTTTGGGCTGGTAGGTAGGTGTAAGAATGTCAGGCTCGGACATTTTCACATGGTTGTCTACCTCTTTCCCGCTTCTCAAAACCGTGATTGCCTTGGCTTCCTTGGGCTGGCTAGGTAGCTTCCCTTTGTCTGAGTCTGCCTCCATGTTCCCAACTCTTGTAGCCAGCTGGCCCAACTGTGTTTCCAAGCGTTTGATAGAAGCATCAGTGTTCATGCCCCTTTGCTCACTGTTTGCCATAAACTGGAGAATCTTGTCCAGCTTATCGTCTTGGTTAGCTGCACTGGGTCCGGCCCCTTGTGCCTGCATTCCTCCCATTGGGCTCCTCTACTGTTGCTGATGCTGCTGTTGAGGGTAGTTTGGTCTCATCTGCTGTTGGGGAATGAAGGTGGGTCGGGGCTGTTGCTGCATGAAGTTCTGCCGAGGAGGCTGCTGGATGTTGTTGTTGTTAGACCACGAGAGATTTGGGTGATTTCTCCACCCCGGGTTATACGTGTTTGAATATGGGTCGTTGGCAGGCCGATTCTGGTAACCTTGAAGAGCATTGACATCTTCGTATTGTTCCCCATAATCTTGATCGAAAGCTGATGGGCACACCTCCGACCTGTGCCCTTGTACTCNTGTTGTTGTTGTTAGACCACGAGAGATTTGGGTGATTTCTCCACCCCGGGTTATACGTGTTTGAGTATGGGTCGTTGGCAGGCCGATTTTGGTAGCCTTGAAGAGCATTGACATCTTCATATTGTTCCCCATAATCTTGATCGAAAGCTGATGGGCACACCTCCGACCTGTGCCCTTGTACTCCACATGCTCCACACGCTTCTACGGCCATGGTCTGCATTGGTTGGCCTCCCCTTGCATTCAGTAGCCGCATCTGTTCCGTGAGCTCAGCCAGCTGTTGTGCCATCATGTCTCGTCCTGGAGATACTTCATTCACAAAAGATCTCTTCCCTCGACTGCTCTTCTGAGACGAGTTAGAACTCATCGCCTCAAAAATATCAATCATCTCTTCTGCCGTCTTCGCCCCAATGTCTCCACCAGCTGCATTATCCACCATGTATTGAAGATCGTTCTATCAGATGGGGGACGTGCAGGAGAACGGGAAGGATCACACAATCCTTCTCGGCAGACCGTTTATGGCCACTACCAACACCCTCATCGATGTGAAGAACGGGACATTGAACATGACGGTCTTAGGCGAGTCAGTTTCTATTTCAGTTCGAGAAGCAATTTCCTCTTCCTCAGTGAACTTCGTGGAAGAATGTGCCTTTGTTGATGTGAGCGACCCGTTCGTGGATGAGATGACTATACGAGACTTGGAGGAGAGGTCAATGCCCGACCTCAACGATGAAGAAGAGCCAGTCATTGAGCTTTTCGCAGCTGATGAGCCACACGCGCCTACTCCACCAGCATTAGAGCTTAAGGAATTGCCCCGCCATCTCAAGTACGTCTTCCTTGATGACAAGAAGCAAAAGCCGGTCATCATCTTTGCCGAGCTTAATGGTGACGAGGACATTTTGTTGTAGTTCTTTTTACCGGAGTTAAATCAAAAGATTCGAACACCGGGTCGTGTCTCAAGGAAGGTTAGCCGGATTATTTTG